TATATTAAGTGATTTCTAAGCCATGTTAGTACTAAGATTCATTGGAGAAGTCAAAGCTTTCATTAGAAATTACTTATGCATAATTATACATCATGGCTTGAATTGTTTAATGTAGGTGTAAAGACCTTGTTTCCCTTTATTCATGTTCATGACCAGACCCTTTGTCATCTTTGGAGTGCTCGGCCATGTGAGGTTCAGCCCTTAGTGCAAGAGATTCTCCACCAAGACATCATGTGCATAGAAGTTAGGTGTGTGTAAGAATTTGTCTTCCACTTAGCTCCACTCTTTCACATAATTTCTCACTCCCTATAACTCCTTATCTAAGCACTCTCACCAGATGATATAAATCTCTTTTGATACTTAGAAGTCTCTTGAGGTAATACTCCTTAAGATAGAGAGAAACCGTGAGCAGAAATACAAAATGCCGAGAGTGATTTCAAGGGTACTCGAGTACATATTTGTGGTAGAATCGAGTTTTAGCAAGTGTTTCTTGTGAGCCTCAGCAAAATAACTATATTCTCGCACTCCTCTCCCACCTAGAAGGCATTAAGCTCACCAAGTTCCATAGAAGAAGGCAAAAAACCGAAACAATCACCTCACAAGTTCAAGCAAAGCAAACACCGAGCACATCCAATTCCTTTGTATTTTTCTTCACGTTCTAGAGGTTGGTTTGCTGAATTCTTTTTAGGACTTGTTATATATGATATGAGGATTGGAATTATGTATTTTAATTCCCCATAGGTTCAATTTGTAAGTAATTTCAAGCATGCTTAATATTTAAGTACTCCCAGTTTTTCTTGCATGTTCTGTATGCTATGTTTTCATACGTTTTTGCCTATGCTCTGAAAAATATGGGAATGTGCGAATTTTATGGCTATTGCTTGTGGAAAAGGGGAGTTCATAGGATCAAGAATGAAGTCAATTGGCCTAGTATAACTCGAGTTATTGATTTTTAAAGTTAGATGTGCAAATTGAACTTTCTATGCGCGAATTCAGTTGCGACTTCAAACCGGAATAACTTGAGTTATACTTACGATAAAATTATGAAATTTCTAGGACATGTTTATATATAAGTTAAGAGCATGCAAAACCAAATTTCATGATTTTATCATAAGAAATGAGTGCGTTATATTTGTTAGACCGAATGCATGTCGAGTTGAACTTTAATGCTTTAGAACTCCCCCAATACTTGCGGGATTAATGTGAAATTTTAAAGAAAATTTCTTGTATGAGTCGTTGGTAATGTCACCAAGTTTGAGCTTCAGAGGACAAGAGTACTATTTTATATTTGAATGCATGTGTGTAAAGTGCATTTTATGTGCTAAGATTGAAATGCTAGTTAGTCAAGCTATTTCTGCTCAAATGAGTTGAAATTTTTACAGCATGTACGTAGTTACGTGAACTATTTTACTGTGAAGTTTGAGAATTTTCAGAGTTATATTCGATTTTATAAAAATCTAGAGAGTTTAGTCGATCATTTTATTCTAGTAAATGATTTAAATGAACATGCATGGACTTAAGTGACCACTCATTCATAAACATTCATTTAGCATGTGAGTTGGTCGGAAATAGTCGCCGGAGTACGGCGAGAATGGCCGGTGCGAGACAGTATAGAAAATTTGAAAAAAAAAAATGGGGTTCGGAGCCGAAGTGAGAATTTCTCCGGGAAACCCTAAGATAGTCCAGTTGAGCCGAGAAAAATCCATTCCAGTTTTAAGTGTTCATATGCATCTATATGCCTTATGTGATTTTCATGCTATCTGATTTTTCTACTTATCTGTCTAAGTTTCAGTATCAGTTTTTAAAAGTCGAGCAAATTTCTTAGATACATTTGCTTATAAATTTTGGTAGCTTAAGGAGAGTCAGCCTCCGACAGCTACCCCAGCATTTCAGCACTTGCAACAGATATTTTCAGTATACCAGGTTGGGGTCATGTATTGGATTCTACATCATTTATAAGATTTGTACCATGACTGAGGTATGTTCGAGACAGTTAGTTCTCCCAGGTGAGAGGCCGACCTAAGGGCCTTCCTAATCCACCTGGTATCCGGCTGGGGCTTCAGCCTTAGTGTCTGGATGGTGTGCACACGAGTGGCCGAGAGCCGAGGGTCGACGGACCAAAGTTTAAGAAAAGAAAAGAAAAGAAAAGAAAAGAAAAGAAAAGGAAGAAAAGAATAGTTTACTGTTCAGCTCTTATATATTGATGTTCATGATATGTTATTATTTATGCTGTTTAATTCAGTACTGGTCTTTGCGGAGCATAGTGGTTTGCTCACGCCCCCATTGTGTTTTTCAGGCGACGGAGTCGAGCGGGCCGGGTGAGCTAGTGTGGCAAGCGTGGTCATGAGCCGTGGACATTTTTACCATCATTTTATGTACCACCATTCATGAACCATGTTATGTATAAGTTTGTATGATTGCATTTCATACTTTCAGCTTCCGCTAAGTTATTAGTGCGAGACAGACGGATTGCATGTATAATTCCAGTAACACCATAGTGGCTCGATTTGGTTGCATGTTTTATTATGTCCAAGATAGTAAGTTAAGAAAGTTTTCGTAGCATCCCGCAAGTAAGAAAGTATTTTCAAAAATAAACTCGCATGATATTTCGAAAATAAAAGCGAAAAATTAACTCTGATTTTCAAAAGTCAAAACTAGTTAAGGCGGGGTGTTACAACTTTTCTGTTTCTGAAAATAATTTCACTAGTCACCCCTTTGAGCCTTATTGATTTTCTTTCTTTTATAACCTCGTGACGATGATATTGTGGAGTTGCGGGTGTAGAATTGGAGGTGATTCGTGTTTGTATATATATTTAGATAAAAAAAAAAAAGAAACCGAATGGATTAAAAATTTCCCAAGGTTTTCACCAAAAAACAAAATATAAAAATAGAGAAACCGAATGGATTACGTAAAATGTCCAAAGCTTCTCACATAAAAAAAAAGAGAGAGAAATGGTGAATAATTTGGGAAGTATGTTGGTTTTGGAGAAGTGGGGGGAACCGGTTGGTGTCAGCAATCGGAGGAGTTCATGATTATGGTTATCTGATTGAGTTGATTTGATTTTTATTTAGCCAGTTAGCCTATATTTATCCTACCCGATCCAAAGAGCCTACGTTACATCCCTTAAAGTTGTCTTGATTCATTGTTTTACTAATTTGATTGTTTTAGAGTAGGAGTTAGACGATAGGCAAACTTATGATTGATTCGACTGACGACCAATTTGAGTGTACCTAGCTGATATTTGAGAAAGAAATTGAGTGAGGCACATATGATGTACTCGAGAGTTTATGTCCTTCAAAATAGCCAAGTTAATAGTTGAGGTGTGCTCTTCTGATCATTTGAATTCTTCTTGACTTGATTGATTGGTTTGAGATTAGTATTGCTTGAACCGTTGTCCTTGCTCGTTTTTTTATCTTTCTTTTCTTTTCTTTTCTTATTGTTCGGGACGAACAAAGGTTTCAGTGTGGGGGAGTTGTTTGTCCCAATTTTGTTGCTATTTTTGTTTGTATTTTGCGTGTGTTTTTCCTCCGTTATAGGTCGTTTCTTAGGTGTTCCCAGTCTGTCTAGTCGTTTCTCGTGTTTTATCTCTATTTCGGTATGTTTGGTATTTTCTTTGCTTTTCTCTCTATTTTTCTTGCTTTTCGTGTTTCTCCGATTTTGGTGGTTTCAGGTTGTTTCGGTTTCCAAGTGTTGCATCCCAGTTCATGCGACCAAACATGCTGAAGTCGAGTTTCCAGCTCGGGCCGTACCCGAGCAACGCTAGCCGAGCACGCGAGCCGAAAAAAAAGCAACTTTTGGACCTCCCAGAGCCTTAGCGCCGCTAAGCCACCTTAGCTCTGCTAAGGTTAACCAGGCTAGCGGCGCTACCTTTCTTACCGATGGCTGGCTCGAACAGCTAAGATACCTTAGCGGCGCTAAGGCACCTTAGCGCCGCTAAGGTCTGTTTTGTAACAACCGCGATTTTTAGGGAATTTCGAATTGGGAAGGATAAAGCTCGGGGCTAGGGCAATTGTTAGTCATTCTCAGACCTTGAATTTAGATTTTCTTCACCGTGAAACATATTCGCTCTTCTCTTTTCACTTGGATTTGATTTTGGAGAGTAGAAAACTCCATTTTATCTTCCATATTTGGATTGCTTGTGGGATTCGACATTCGACATTGAAATTCGTATTAATCGAAGACTTTCTATTCCTTTAATCCATGAATATGTTCGTCTTGATTGGTGGGATTGTTTGTGTTGAATCGATCATGAGTAGCTAAATCTATATGCTAGGGAATTGTTGAAAGGTGACACTTCAATTCCCAATTGTTTCAATTGAATTTGATTTATTCATGCATGAAGTTGGTGATTCTATTTGATTAGTCGGTTAACCACCCTGTAGTATATATTAATCGACTCTTAGAACCGAAAAGGGAGGAGTCGATCGAAATAGGCTCGTATAAGCTAGGCTTGTTTGTAACTGTATTACCTAGGTGTTAAATGACTTGTTAATTTGTCGTTCAAGTTTGTTCTCTTGTTACGAAGAGTTATTGAGGATGAGTACTTGAACGAGCAGGTTATTCAAATCACTTAACCGAACAATCACTTGCCCATTAATTGCAATTCGAACCAAAATAGATATCCCCGACTCCCTAGCTTCTTAAATCTTACTTGTTCTCGTTGCTGCTTGATATTTCTATTGCTTAATCTGAATTTTCATAGTAGTGATAATTAAAACCAAATCCAATCTCTGAATTAGTATGTTTAGGAATTTTATTTCTTTTACTTGTGTTTGAATAAACGTGCATAATAATCCAGTTAACCTTTCTCGAGAGACACAACCCGGTGTTCGAATCTTTTGATTCTACTCCGATAAATATATTTACAACAACTGCATTGGGTCTTTTCTTCTTCTAGGGCATGTATATGTTCCTCTCTTTCAGCTTTGTAGTTGTGTACAAAAAGTTTGGAGTATAAAACCTATCGTTTTAGAAAGAAAAAAAAAAAAAAAAAAAAAAAAAANAAAGGACAATATAATTATAGCTAGGTATAGGGAACAACAAACAAGAGTGCGCAATTAGTTAATTGATTAATACATAGTATGGCACAAAACATTAATTTGGCCGCATTTATAGCTAGCATGTTATTGAATGCATGCAAGTACAAATACAAATATGTGAATTAATTAATGAAAAATGATCAGTTGAGACGCTTGCACAAAGTGAGTCCATCGCCAATGGAAAGATGAGCTAAGTCGATGCGAGGGTCGTTTGCAAGGAAGGAGTTGAGTTTGATGATATGTCGTCTGCAGGCTTTCAAGTAACCCTCCGTCATTTCCTTCTCATCTTCCTCAGATGCCGCCACTGTGCCCGACCACAGTGTGTTGTCGTAGGCTATTATTCCACCCACTTTCACCAACTTCAACAGCTCCTCGTGGTAGTTTATGTAATTTTCCTTATCAGCATCCACAAATGCAAAATCAAAACTACCTTCTTCTCCCTGAAATTAAATTTTAATGTTACTATAATCTTATACACAGCAAAGTAGACTCGCTCATTTTGTAAAATTAGCAATAAAAATGTTGATCATTCTTACTCATCATATCAACTTTATTTCACTATTCATCTACTCACATATTTTTAACTAACTATCACTTTACATATTCTCTCTCATACTTTACATCAAATCAACTTTAATTATTTTATTTTTAATATTATTTTAATATAAAAACAATGATTAAAAAAAATTCTATTTGTGCAGATATATTTGTATCCAAACACGCCCTAATCAATTTCACCTTTTCCAACAAATCCTTCATGACCTTGGAGGCATGGGATTGGATGTAATGTATTTTGTGACCCACGTTTGCCTTGTCAATAAATGGCAATCCCGTCTCATATGCTTCCTTGTCTGGATCAATCGCTATTATCTACAGGAATTTATTTTATTAACCATATGTAAATAATTAACCATTAATTAATTAATTAATTGTTATTGTTTAGTATGTAATAGAGTGAAACGGTGAATTACCTTGCCATCATCAGGTAAAGCAAGAGCAGTGGAGAGAAGCGAGTAGCCAGTAAAAACTCCCACCTCAATTGTTTTCTTGGCGTTCATTATTTTCAAAAGCATAGAAATGAATTGCCCCTCATCAGCGGGCACATTCATAAGGCTCCTGATTATATATACATACATATATACATATATGTACTTAGTTATACATAAATGTAACGAGTAAATTACTCAGCTTGAAAATAAATATATAGTTGCATATTATTATAATTACTACAATATATGAATTACCAATATTTGTATTTGTCCACTGTAGCATTCCTGAGTTCTTTTAGCTGTTGATGCTCTCTGGGATACGCACTTGTTTCCAACAGGTACTGATTTAATTAATTATTAAACAGATTAATCAACCAAAATATTATTATTACCATCATTATATCAGTAGACAAATAATTTAAATGACGAGTGCTTGTCTTTTAATTTCTCATGTGATTCGGCCATTTACTAGCTAGGTGAAATGTAACCCATCTAAATAAGTTACTATACAAGTGACTCACTAATATTAATGAAATGAAGCACTTGCTATAGTTAATTTTTGTTATACCTCTGATGATGAACATTACCCGGCCTACATAAATGCCAAGGATTTCGAAACTCCCAAAACTGCCAAAACATATACTCCATTGGCGTACATTATTTGTTATAGTTTTAAATTAGTAGAGTAATAATAATTACAAGTGTTATGACAAAACTTTTTCTATTAATCTACGTGCGTAATATATGATGGGCAGTTAATTAATTGAGCAGTATACATTAAAATCGTAATAATTAATGAAAACATAAATTAGTAAACTAACCTTAGCGAGCGCCTCGCTTTGCAGAATGGTGCCGTAGAACATATCTTTCATGGTTTAATTAATTAAAGAGTAATAGGCAAAAAAGAAGATGATTTTAGAATTAAAACAAGTGTATACCCAATTAATTATGGTGTACTTGTGTTGAGCTTCCTAGAGTTGATTGCCAATTTATAAAGGGCCGTTTGGCTAACGCAATAACGCGTGAAAAGCTTGATTTTGGGAAGTGTCACACCCACCAAATCAGCTACCTCTCCAATCTTTTCTATTTTTATTTTTATTTTTATTTTTTTGGTGGGCATTCAGTTATTTTTTTGACTATATTGGTGGGATCCGTTTGTCAGACTACAATTTTTTCCAATTTTCATCTGTACTAGTGTGTGGCTCGTCACTCGTGCGATGCACGGGAAAACAATAATATGATTCTATTACAAATTAAATATATAAATAATATTAATTATGATTTATTTATTATTTTTAAATTAAATTAGGTTGGACACAGTCTGACCAAATAGACCGACAACCGGTTTATAACCAGTCTAGTTCGTTTGAATAAAATATTTGTTGTCGAATCCGTCAACACCAATCAGTTGGATTGGTAGGAACGATACGATTTCCTAGATAAATTTTGTTACATTTAAAATTATTATAAATAAAATTACATATTTAAATAAAATTGATATTTATAAATTATTTATCAATTAGTTTAAACATTTGAATTTATAAATTGTTTAGATATTTAAGTAACACATTTTATTTAAATTTATTACAAAAAGTACTATATATATATATATATATATATATATATATATTAAAATTTTTATAAATTAAAATCGAAGAAACCACAAATGATTTAATAAAATAACTTGATCATTGCGATGATGGTCCGGTTCTAAAAACCTTATATTTACTGCACATTAACAAAAATTATAATAAAATATTATTTTATTCACATAAATATTGACAAAATGATATATAAATATTCATAAATCATTTAACATGTTGTCATAAAAGTATTGTTAATATGATTATTTGAAGTTTGGACTACATCACATTCACGTAATAAAGTATTTTCAGTATTAAAATTTATATTTAGATTCAATAATCGATTTGTTATGGTCAATTTAATACATAATTTAGCCACCTGGGATCAACCAAGTTGTGTCAAGTTTTTTAACTATTTCAAATATCACCTAAAAGTAATTCAATTAACCTGGGCAATGCCCTAATTTAATCACTCGATTGATCCAAAGAAATTTCTTTATTTTCTTTAAATATATTTAGTTTTATGAAATAAAAATATTTTATTATTCATACAATAAATGTCTACACCAAATGAGAGTATATTAAGATTATAAATTATATATCTAAAGATGAATTAGTTATTTTTACTTTATGCATATTAATAAAAATAAACATAGTAATTTTTAAAAAATTAATATTAATTGATTGATTATGCAATTTAAAAAAAAAATTAGCGTTCAATATTTTTATTTTGAAAGGCACAAATATAAAGACCGGGATTCTAAAATTTTTGTTATATTTTGAATAGAGATTTTATAAATATAAAGACTGAAATTTTAATGTTGCTCGTTGTTTATAAGAAAAAAAAAATAAAAATGAAAACTTGCACACTTAATAGATCTTAGCCGGATTTTTAAATAATAAAATAAACTAAAGCCCGAAATTTAATGTAGCATTTAATGTAGTATGATTTCTTATAGAAAAAATAAGAAAAATAATAAAACTTATTATTTATAGGCTGCATTAAATTTTGACTTATTATTTTGCTACTATTTTTGGTAAATGGTTATTCTTATTATATATGTATAGATTACTAAAGACTAGTGTTGATATCCATGCGATGCACGGAGTACATTACAAAAAAATATTTTTATTTAAATATTATAAAATTATTTAAGACATTATAAAATTATATTCTCCGCAATATTATATTCAATAATAATATGACATTTATTTATTTACTATTATTTTTAATTTCTATTTATATATATATTTTATTTTTTTGACTATTTAATATATAAATTTTATTATTTATAAATTTATAAAATATTATAAATGTATAAGATTATATGATATTTTCATACAAATTACTTGTATGTACTTATAAAATTGTCGTTTATCATAATCTTATAATTTTTTCAACAATTCATAATTTGCACTTTTCTTGCTAATTGACCAACTTTAACCCATAATATTTATTTTTCACTATAATTATTAAGTGCGTTTAATGTTAAAAAATTTTTACAGATAAATTTTAATTTTTAGTAACTTTAATCCTTATGCAACACACAAATTTTTTTAATGGTTATTTATATTTATCTCTTTAATTCATTTTTTCAACCTATATAATGAGTTACATAGTATCTATTCGAGTATTTAGATATATTATATATTTGCATAATTACCAAGTGCTATAATTTAAATTATTATACATTGCTATTTTATTAACTTATATTTCATTTATAAAATAGTATATTAGGAAAAATATATATTTTTGAAAATTGAATAGTTTTGAATTGTACCCGACCATCAAATTTTACTTTTATTAGTATATTTTTTAAATTTTCTGTAGTATTATCACTGCATATGATATTTTCAATGGTGATGTACCCTTTTATAGTTAAATTGACTACATTTCAAAAAAATTTATCAATATTTTAAATTATTTATTAAGTTAGTATGATTTAAACATAATTATTTTTGAATATTTTATTAAATATTTTAAGTACTTCTGAATAGTGAATGTAATTAATTAAATTAATACCTACAACCATAGATGATAATATATTTAATCAAATCAATTTTTTTATTAATTTTTTGAATTGTGTCAATAAATTACTATTAAATTAATATAAGATCTTATTGAAAATATATCTAATAAATCTACAGTCAAAATTTCAATTTAAACCAATTTGAAGTTAATGAGTAAAAGTCATTGAGTGTATAAAAATTAAATATGTTTTTCATGCATAAGATTTGCTAATAAATAAATATTAATTAAATGCGAAATATAGACGAAAAAATTTCTCGCCCAAAATTATGTCAATTATGGCAATAAGGATTGGTCAATTATATAGATATAGATAAAGAAGTTTATAAATAGATATACGAATGTTTTTTCGTCACATATTACTAATTTATTTACAAAATTATATTTTCTATTAACAATCAAACCCTTTGAAAAAAAAAAAATCTATATTCTATATGTGTATAAG